TGCACTTGACTATCCTTTCTCAAGATTTATTAGTGGGACTAGATGTGCCTCAGGCCAAGTCGAAGGAGACTGGGCTCATCATTCTTTCTACTACTCTTGCTATCCCAACTCCTACTCAGGCTGCCACAGAGACTGCTCATGCTGTCTCTCCTCCTCCTTCTAGAGTCACTAGGGCTGCTTCGAAGAAATGCATGCACTTCCATCTCTCATTTCTCTTCTCTGTATAATGTCTTGCTCATCTACTTATAGCTTTTTTTTTATACAGAAGCTTCACAAGTAGACCCTTCTCAGAGGGCTCAAGCCCTATACATTCTTAAAGACAAGCAGTGACAACAACAGAAGAAAACGAGGCTTGTGCTTGATCCTAAAGAGAAGGAGGTACCTAAAGAAACACCGCTTAAGAGGAGGAAGAAAATAACAGTCTCTCCCTCTGATTTCATTGACGACCCTACGCATCAGGCAGCTGCCAAAGTAGTAGAGACGGAGCAATCCAAGGAATTGGTGGTTTTCCAGAGATCTGAGAAAATAAGATAGCAGCAGATTTTAAGGAATGAAGCTGTTGCTGCTGATACACTTCAAAGGGAAGCTACAAAGAGGCAACAAACTGTCAAACATTATACTCTTTGCAGTTCTCCAATCATTACCACCACTACTTTTAAGGCTGGTAATTTCTTTTAGTTTCTCTAGTAATTTCATTTCCTAAGTTTTCAGCAATAAAACTTACCATTGCTTCTTATTTTCTGTCTTGCTGCAACAGTTACTCCACCTCCTCCTCTTTCGACAATGGCTTCTTCTGTCCTGTTTGAAGTTAAAAGGCCATTAGAGGCAGCCTCAAAAAGGAGGAAGAAGATCAACACCGAAGTGCCCTTAAGTATAAAGCCCATCCAGACAGTACTTCCACTTTCCAACTCTACACTTTCCATACCTTTTTTGAGGCAAACCATCCCTATTTCTTTATGCCTGGGCTTAACTCCATATCTATCTCATCTAACCTTTACCTCAGCTCAAGTTACTCTCCCTATAATCCTGGCTGCTCCTTCATCACCCGAGAAGGCCCTAGTTGTCACCTCATCAGTGATAGCTGGTGCTTCCAGAGAAGATACTAGTAGCTTACCAATTTCTTGTCCACCACTACTATCCAACTCCAGTCCCTCTTCCCTTGATCTGCTGGTGGCCAGGACTATAGACACTGTCAGGGACATTTCAACCCCTTCTCCTATCCCTATGCAACTATCTCTTCCAGACCTTTCTGCACCTTCCATGTCAGTGGAAGAGATAGACATTTTTGAAACCCGATTGGCTAGCCTTTTTGACACACTTTCAACCACTCTAGCAGCCAGTAGTGAAGCTGTAACGCCCTCAAAATAATAACAATAAACCCATCAGATAAGACATGCATTTACATATAAACTAACCACATTCTTTCATTCATTAGAGTTCCATTACATAAGTATTACATGTTAACCTCATAACAAAATGCCCTACGGGCTTACAGCTTTCAACGAGGGTAAGCCTGGGATCACTATAGAAGCTAAGCCATTGGTCCTTGCTGACTCCCTCTTGAAAATTTTTGAGAGCTCTTCAACCATCAGCAAAGTTTCTTTGCCTCCATTGGACTTAGGTACCTGTTTGGAATTGCTGATATCATTTTCAAGGATCCCATTCGAAGCCTTATAAAGACTCATACTTAAGAATGGTTTCCTTCAATGCTGCAAAGTTATTGAGCAATCCAATATGGCCATTTCAAGCCACTTATCCTAGACAGGAGCTACCATAGATTTCTATGTCAACATTTGCACCATTACTAAAGCTGCAGAAGAGAAGCTATTGAAAGACAAGGAATTTGTGTCCCATATACATACTGAGGTATCTAAATTGAAGGGACAACATTCCTCTACTTCTCAGTTTCGCATTTAGCTCTTGGAGAAAAAGGCCTAATTAGAAGAGGAGTTAGCAGTAGTTAACCTAGCCTTGGATCGAATGGTTACAAAGCTGCAGATTACCAATCAAGGGCTAGCTGACCGTAAGCAAGACATGGCTACAGCCATTCAGTTGTTCACATCCCTTAGGAGTAGAGAATCAATTATAAGGGAACAACTGAAGCATTGTACTGATTTTTAAGCCAATCTATGACTGCATGTACTTAACTCTTTATGAAATGAAATCCTTATTTATTATTTGAGTGTTTTCATGCTTATTTTGTTTAGCATTTCTCACACTCCTTGTGTTTCCCACACAGTTGGATAATAAGGCTTCAAATACCTATCATTGATTTTCTTGGAATGTACATAACCATTTAGATTTCCCAGATGGTATGCTCCTCCAGGTAAAACTCTATAGACTTGATATGGTCCTTTCCAATTAGGTGACCACTTATCAAATTTATGGCTTTTAATTCCTATTGGAAGTATTGTTTTTCACATCAAATCACCTTCATCAAAGCTAATATGCTTAACATTCTTATTATAGTTTTTGGCTGCCTTTGTCTTTTGGAACAAAATATTATTTAATGCCAGAATTCTAGCTTCATCTATATTCTCTAATTCCAAGAACATGCTTTAATGATATTGCTTAGAGTTTAACTAGTCCTGGCATTTCACCCTCAAGGACCTAATGTTAATCTCCACAAGCATCACTGCATCATGCCCATATACTAAGGTATAAGCAGTGACTCCAATACTTGATCTTGGAGAAGTCCTATAAGCCCATAATACATCCAACAACAAGTTATGCCAATCCGCAAGATTGTCTTCCACAACTTTTTGTATTCCTTTTTTCAAGGACTTATTAGATAATTCTGCCTGACCATTTGCTTGTGCATAATAAGGGGTGTAATTAATAAAACTAATTCCAAATTCTACTGTGAAAGATTTTACCATCTTTCTATCAAACACAATCACATTATCTATAGTTATGGTCTGTGGGATGCCAAATCTGTGAATCAGATCTTTAATAAATCCAATAACTTCAGTTTGATTCACAGCCTTATATGGTTTAGCTTCGACCCACTTAGTGAAGTAATCTGTGGCCACTAAGATGAAACAATGGTGCTTCGAAGATGGTGGATATATTTTCCCCATCATATCCATAGCCCAACCTCTGAATGGTCGAGGCTTCACAATTGCATGCAAATCAGTTATTAGTACATGTCTTATCATGCCATGCTTTCGGCATACTTGGCAACCTCTAGCATACTCTATATAATCTTTAAGAATGGTTGGCCAGTAGTAGGAATGCCTTCGAAGCAACCATCTCATTTTCACACCAGGCTGATGGGCATCACAAATGCCTTCATGGGCTTCAGCCATGGCTGTCAATGCCTCATTCGACCCTAGACATTCCAATAACAACCCATCTGCTCCCCTTTCATAAAGAGCATTACCATATATTATGTATTATATAGACTGTAATTTAATCTTTCTGCTAGCCTTCGAAGATGGGCCAGTTAAGTACTGCATGATTGGATGCCTCCAATCTTGATCTTGTAAGTCATTACGATTGACTTCCAACACATCATTCCTTTTAGCTAAAGGTGGTATTAATTTTTGATATGTTGCTTAACTTATGTTCAATTGAGTGTTATCCCTCCTTCTAAAATTTGAAACCTTCTGAGCTACATCATTGGCTTTGTTATTCATGAATCTTGAGATATAAGTCACATTTGCTATATAAAACTGAGAAAGCAAATGTAATACAACAACATAATATGGTAACATGCTTGTACTTTGATATTTGAAAATTCCTTTCACTTGGTTAACTACCAATTGAGAATCTCCAAATATATCAACTACATGAACTTGTAATCCAATAAGCATTGCCAATCCCATTACTAAAGCTTCATATTCAGCTTGATTATTGGAACAAGTAATTTCATCAACCTTGAAACCATATGTGGTTTTTACCCCCTGTGGTGACTTAATTACAATACCAATTCCAATCAGACCATTGGTCTTTAATCCGTCGAACCACATCTGCCATGGCTCAACATTGACCACACTAAGATCTATTATCTCCTGGCTTTCTGTTTGACATGGATGATCTGCCAAGAAGTTAGTCAAAACGTGTCCTTTTATGACCTTTTGAGGGATATATTCTAGATGAAATTCTGATAAAGCTAATATCCATTTGCTAATTCTTCCTCTCAACATAGGTCTAGATAACATGGACTTAACCATGTCTGTGGTTGCAATTACCAAGACAACGTTAGGCAAAAGATAATATCTTAATTTCATTGCTGCAAAGTACAATGCAAGGCACAGTTTTTCTACAACTGAGTATTTACATTTCCAGGAATTTAAAAACTTACTAAGGTAATAAACTGCTTACTCCTTACCTTCTTCATTGTCCAGGAAAACTCCCAATGAATCTTCTGTTGCAGCAATGTTTAACTTCAAGGGCTTATCGCTCCTTGGCGGCATCAACACTGGAGGCTTAGCCAAGTAGGCTTTAATTCCTTCGAAAGCAGCTTGATGCTCTGCTGTCCACACAAACTCCTCTTAATCTTTCAACTTTAACAAAGAAGAAAATACTTTAGTTTTCCCTGCAGTGTTAAAAATAAATCTTTGAAGAAAATTAACCTGACCAAAGAACTTCTGTACTTTTTTCTTATTTGATAGAGGTTTGGCCTCAATGATGGTTTTGGCTTTATTTTGATCAATCTATATTCCCTTCTTGTGCACTACATACCCCAAGAAGTTTCCAGCTAACACACCAAAAGCACATTTGAGAGGATTAAACTTTAACTTAAACTTTCTCATTCTTTCAAAAGCTGTTACCAAGTGAACCGAGTGTTCCTCCATAGACTGGGACTTTACAACAATATCCTCAATGTAACTCTCTAGGTATCCTCTAATAAGATCATGAAAGACAGTATTCATTTCCCTCTTATATGTTGCCCCAGCATTCTTTAGACCAAATGACATTTTTACCCATTCAAATGTGCCAATATTCCCAGAACACCTAAATGCTGTCTTGTGAACATCCTCCTCTGCAATGCAGATCTAGTTATAATCAGAATGCCCATCCATCATAGACAAAATCCAGTGTCCTTCTGAACTGTCTACCAATAGATCTACTATAGGCATGGGGTATTCAACTTTTGGAGTTGCCAAGTTCAAATTTCTAAAATTGATGCATACCCTCATCTTGCCATTCTTTTTAACCACAGACACAATGTTGAACAACCATTTGACATACCTGGTTATTCTAATGAAGCCTACTTTAAGGAGCCTGAGAATTTCCTTCTTCACTTTTTGAACTACTTCATGGCTCATTCGTCTTGGTTTCTGCTTGCGTGGTTTGAAGTTAGACTTCATAGGGAGCCTATGTTCTACTAATGATCTATCCAATCCTGACAGTTCATTATAAGACTACCAAAAACAATCCTTATATTTCTTTAGGACTACCAACAATTGGTTCATGTCAATAGAACTTAACCAAACACTTATATAAATGGGTTGCTATGCAGAACTTTCTCCTAAATTGACTTCTTCCAAATGGTCTTATACTTGAGCATTTATTAATGCTTCTCCTTCGTCTTCTTCTGCCTTCAAAGCAACTTCTTTGCTTTGTTCTGCTCTCATCTTCTCTGGTTCAACATCTTTTTCTTCTTCCTCATAGACAAAATCTGTCCATAAGGCTTATTCTTCATGTATTTCTTAGACTTTTGTTTCGATGCCCAATGCACAGTACTTATCAAGGGTCAAAGGCCTGACCTTTTGTTACTCCTGATTATAGCTAACCACCATGGCTTTCCTCTCTCGTTCCTGAACCTTCTGGACTATTGATTTTATGTCCAATGTTGAAAACTTGACTAAAGCCAAGGGTCTAGCTTCTTAGGTCTCAACTTCTTGCCTACAACCAGGCATCATTGTCATCCTTGGTGACGAATTTTTCATCAGTACTCTCCTGCACTACGTGCTTCAGGTGTGCTACTTCCTCACCAGCCGTCTTTTTGGCAGTTCCATCAGGTTTCCTCAATATACTGAGTGGTGTCACTCCTTCAGTATATAACTTAGCCTCTGCAAAGTCAGCACAAGTGATAAAGAGTTAAGGGTCTGTGTTGATCTCCTTTGTCTTTCCATTGCATAGGGCCATTATTATTTTCTAATGTAGAGAGGAAGGCACACACTTGTTGGTGTGGATCCAATCCCTGCCAAGTAAAGCATTATACTTGGCATTACTATCTTTAACAAAGAATACTGTCATACAATCTCTGGTTCCCACACTCAAGTTGATGGGCAGGATGCCCTGAGCCATCTGCTTATCCCCAGCAAAGTTAGCAATGGTTGTGCTGGTTGGGATTAATCTGGGGTTTCTTTTTCCCAATTTCTTCAAAGAAGACTTCAGAAGCAAGTTCACTGATGCCCCATTATCCACTAACACCCTATTCATTTATATCTTATCGAAATAAGCCTTGATATACAAGGGCTTAACGTGTTGCGTCATAGATGTTGTAGGATACTCGAAGGGATACGAGAGATTAATACTCACTTCCTCACTTTCATCTTCAGTTTTTATTGGTGTGGCCACTTCAGACTCATCTTGAACCATGCTAACCTATGAATCTTCACTAAAAACTGGAATGGGGTCATCTTCCTGATCTGCTTGGTTTCCATCTTCAACATGGAACTCCTGTGGCAATATATATACCATGTTTATTGATACTAGAGGAAATAAACCAAACTGACCTGCTGGTTGCACTTGTTTCTTTTCCAAACTAACTTTTCAGTTATTTCGGAAGCATCTTCCATGCTGCACTCTGGTACCTCAATATTGGTGACTTCCTTCGAAATCAACTCGTTTGTGGGTTGCTCCTGTTGGCTTTTCGACCAAAAAGGTCTATTCAACCATGAAGGCTTTAAACATCTCATCTTCAGCCATTTCTTTCCTTTGGCCTAGTTCAACTTCTCCTCCAGTCTCACTGTTGCTTTCCATCAAGGCCTTTTCAAGAGCTGCTAAGCTGGATCTTTCATTGGCTTTTAGTTCAGTGTGAACCCTAGCCAACTGCTCTTTGCTGACACTTATTTTGTTCTGAGGAGCCAATTTTGGACTTTCTTTTTCCTCTACTTGGCCTTTTGATTGGGCCAATGAAGAACTCTTTCCACTTTCCTTCAGATCCTTTTGGTACTAGGTGTACCTTCGCTGGATCTTCCTTCTTGAGACCTAGAGATTGCTGGAACCATATCTGGTTCCTTTGTTTTGGGGTGCTTGAGTAATATCCAATTATTTAGAGCCACCAAGGGAGGTTTAATCATTCTTCCCTTGTCTCCAAAGATATTTCTCTGTGCAGGTATTTCCGTAGGCTTGTTCTGCATGACAAACCAGTCTGGCACCCCAAGTACCCATGAACTCACAAGTTCAGTTGCTAAACTTGCTTTCCCAGTCTTTGAAGCTATCTTCGAAGCTAACTGTTGAGGCCAATCATTAGCTCTGGTACGCTGTCTCGAGCCTAATTCAGGCCTTGTTTCAGGGTGATTACCTTGGATCTTGTTTGAAGTTAATGTTGGAGGCCAATTACTGGCTCTAATTCCTTGACTTGAGCCCAATTCAAGCTTTCTCTCAAGATAATTGCCTTCCATCCTGTAGTAATTGGGTGGTCTAAACTTATGCAAAGGTCTCTTACCCTTTGATTGCATTCTAGTGGCTGGTGGTCCAACCAAGAATGGCTGCTGTCTGGGACCAGTATGGCCTCTTGTTATAGGTATTGGTTGTCTTAGGGCGTCTTTGTACATCCTTGTAATACTATTTCCCATTAATTGGAAGCCCTTTCAGCCATTTGTAATTTAACCTCCATTGCATGACAGCTACCTCATGAGAGTCATCATCTAGTGCTTCCTCACTAGAGTCATCCTTTTGGTCCGCAAAGCTCTGTCCATTTGTTGGTAAACTTTTGGTATCCTTCTTGAAAGCAGTCTGGCTGGCAACATACATCTGCACATTAACTTCCTCCAATTCCTTCAAGGATAGGTTTTGGAAATCTGGCACGCCAACATTGGCTGTAACCTCCCCAATCTCTGGGAACGGGTTGGTGTCAATCCTCATAGCTTTCTCTGCTTTGGCTGGAAACTTTAAACACCCCTTTCAAATCTGTTCTTGGATCCTGTCCTAAAAAACAATACAGTTTTTAGTTGAATGAGACCAAGAATTGTGTCATTTACAGTACATTTTCCCTTTAAGTTCTTCTGGGGAAGGGATCTTAACTCCATTTGGTAACTTTAGGAAATTTGCTGCAAGCAAATGATCAAAAATGTCATCTACTTTTGTTAAATCAAAAGAATACTTCGTATGAAGGTCTTTCTTTTTAAACTGCTGGTCTATTGTGGTGTCCTTCTGAATTAATGCCTCATAGGTCATAGGCTCTTTCCTTACGATCTCTGCTACATCAATTTCATAATTAGGGTCCTTATAATAAGTCTTATATGATGCATTACTTCGATCTTGTTCTTCCTCAAGAAATGATTCATATCTAGACACCTTATAGGTTAATTCCACTAAGTCTCGAAACTCAGTTGAATCGAACTTGTTTCGAAGACTAAACTCTAAACCATTTTAAGTCAATCTCACAAATTCAGGCTCTGGTAGAATGACTCTACACTTGTTTCGTGCTCTTTTGAATTTAGTAATAAATTGAACAACCTTCTTATTAGGCCTTTGGCTCAACCTTGCCAAATCTGACATGGAAACTTCAGGCTCTGTTTGGAAGAATTGGGCATGAAGTGCTTCCTCCATTTGCTGCCAAGTTTAGATAGAATCAGGTGTAAGGTTAATATACCATACAAAGGCTGTCCCAGTTAAAGAATTTAGAAAGAGTCTCAACTTCATATAATCATTATTGGTAAATTCACCACATTGGCCAGCGAACTTGGCAATGTGTTCAACTGTTGATTGGTTTCTATTTTCATAAAAGAGCACAAAGTCTGGTATTCTAAACTCCCTTGGGTATTCATGTACCTTATCCACCCATTCTGGATATGGCTTTTTATATACAGGAGTCTGAACGCCCCGAGCCATAAGTCCACACATTTTTCTAACAATATTAGCAATTTAGTCCCTAGGAACCATATTATGTGCTTGTTGGACTATTACTGGAGGAACAAACACAGGGTTTGGTGGAATCCCATGTGCTTGAGGTCCTCTTGGTCCATAGGGAGGTATATTTAGGACTAGCTGTCCCTGTGGTACTGGTTGCTGTTGGGGGTATGGTTGACCTCTCTGGGCCTGACCTGCGAAAGGTGCTGCAAGAGGAGAAACATCTGTTGTTTTTCTCCTAGCCGTAGGAAACCCTTCCAACCCCCTAGGTGTGAATTCGAACAAAGGGTTAGTGAACTCCCTTATGCCAAACATGGTTTCGAACATGGGATTTGAAAACATTAATTCTCCAAATTTCCCTCTTCGTGTCACGTATTAAATTGTGACTGATTTTTGCAAATTCTACCGCCAACAATCTCATTAATTAAATATTACAAACAAACAAACAAATGAGACCTTCTCTCCCTCTTTCTTTTCTTTTTTTTTTTGTTTGTCTCCTTGCCCTCACAATTAACTCTTCTCTTCAATCCAAACACAATTAGTGATCTAAATCGATAGAGATTTAAAATAAACAATTTCAATCATTCGCAGTAAATCACGAAATTAGCCCAATCACGCTCAAGAGTACGTCTGCAATTGGTTTCAACCCTTCTTAATAACAAAAAAGATAGATATACAAATTAAATTACTACACATATCCACATTTCATTGCTCACTAGTGGATAACAAAAAATAGTTACTAATAAATTGATGATAATACACATTCTTGAATTCAAGAAAGAGATTCTCTTTAGTGGATTTGTAGGAAAGAATCACTAGTTTTATGCTTATGAGCCATTCTTGCTAGAACATAACATGATAGATAAATATGATCATCTTAATATCATTATAATGTGAGATTAAGATCCTAAAACAAAATTTAAAACCATATGCTTTCATTTCTAATTCAATTTCAACATAGTTTTGTGCATGTCTCCTGAGACGAGAACATAAATATCAATTTGAACTTAAAATAAGTAGAATTAACAAAACTATTACAAATTCACAACAATATAAATGTAGTTCCTATAAAATTTGTGGTAATGCTCATAATTATCTCTCTAATCATATCCCAAAACTGTGAAAACCCTACATTTAATTATTCTTAAAAGAAAATAAATAAATTAATTAATTAATTAATTTTGTCTACAGTCTATCTGAATTGTATATTAGTGTAAAAGTTAGTTTTAAATTGACCCAATTCAATCACTAACAAAGACATTATTAAGAATAATAATTTTGTGGGTGTTCAATATTTGTTGTTTATAAATTATTTTAATTAGGATACAATATGATAATTGTTCTTACTAAATATCTTAGTTAAAAATCTTAGTGTATCAATTTTCAGAAACCCACACAAAAAAAAAAAAAAAAAAAAAAAGAAAAAAAAACCTGGAGCCAAGACGATCATATCTTACGATCATAATCATAAATCAAACTCGGACGATAAGTCGTTAGCAACCTAACATAGTAAGAAAACCCTCTCAACTTTTTTTTTTTTTTTATATTTGAAATTTTCAGATTATATACATATGATAAATTGTCTAAACTTGTAGATAGGATTTTATTGTATAAAAATTTATGATGGTATATTAAATATTGGTAGTCTAAAAATCCTATTGTGGAATTTGGACTTGTATGTGTAGTTTATGTCATTAAAAAGATTATTGAAGATGTTATTTGGCCCTTTAAATCTGCCAGAAAGTTGTACGAATTTTTAGACAATTTTATACTCAAAATTTGAAGATTATTTCTTCTATAAAGTTGTTGATAATGATGTCTAGTTCATCCACAAATTTTTTCAACAATTATTGAGTTTTGTACGAATTTATACATATTTTTAACCAAATCTGGAGCTATAGGCAGATTTTATTATGTGTTTGGAAAATCATTAAAATTTTTATATTAAACCAAATCTGATAATTTCTAAGCAAAAAATGAAATTTGAGAAGTCTAGTTTCATAATAAATTTTTATATCATGGAATTGATTTATAAATTTAAGTATGGAATTAATTTAAGAAAATGTGATAAATCTGTGTCATGAACACTCTTGGAATTTTTAAGAATTATTTATAATTTATTTTTGGAAAATGCTTTCTGAAAAATGACAATAACATGTTTATTGAGTATTCTGTAGATTTATATGAATTTTAGAGTTTTATAAGTAATTTATTTATAATTGTATTTGCAAGATATACATTCTGAAAATTTTGACAGATTAAAGAGGAATCAAAAACTATCTCTTCAATTGTTTATTTATAACTTATTTTTGGGAAATTCTTTCTGAAAAATGACATAAACATATTTATTAAATATTCTGTACATTTTCACGAATTTTAGAACTGTATAAATAATTTATTTATAATTTTTATTACCTAAGGTATAACCTGAAAATTTCTAGACAGATTTAAGATCATCACTTCAATTATTTATTTGGATAAAAAAATCAGTTATTGTGTTGGTCTAATTCATCAAATATTGTAAATTAGTAATCCATGTATGGGTGTATTATGGTTTATTTAATATTGTGCTAGTTTAATCTTATAGATTAAAAGTCCGTGTGTAATTATGATTTATTTATTTATTTATTTTTTTGTATCTACATTATTATTTCATACCATAGTTTAAATAAATTGTTTATTATTGTGTGACATGTGTAATATTTTATGTTGGGATTCTAATGAGTTGGTATAACATTATTGGTAATTAAATTTTGAATTTTTGTGAATATCTCAACAAGTAAAGAAATACGAAATTTAACCAATGATACATTAAAATATAAAAGTGATGAGGTGAGCACGGTTTAGAATCTTGCGCAAGTGAGTTGCAAACCCTAACATGGCACGGGAAAGTATTTCAGCTCTTATCGGTGTAGGCGATATAAGGTTGGTGGTGCGGGTGTCACAACATAGACCGTTCCCTTGGGGCAGACCGTGATGTCACGACTCAGGTACGTAACTCTGGTACGTAAGCATCATTGGTAGTTACAGTAAGTAATATTTAAATATTTGACCAAGAGGGAATCAGAATTGCCCGTGGCCATTGCTTAGTGGTTGAATGGAAATAGTACTCCGCGGGGAGTTACTAAATTTATCTGATAAACTAAATCTATGAGAATTTAAAAAAAAAAAATGTGGACATATTCCTTATGATGAAATACTGTTTCCGTTTGTTATATTTTTATTTGATTTATTATTATTTATTGTTATTATTTTAACTGATAACATTTATTTTATGCTTACTAAATGTTACTAGTTATTCTGTTATTACATATTATTCATGAATTGTGAGTATTATTATCGGAGTGGGCATTTTCGGGTTGTAGTATCGTATTGAGCTCGTTGCTCACTGACATTCCCGTTGCCCTGGCGTTTTATGTCTGGTACCGAAGAAACCGAAGGAGACACCGAGGCCTTACAAAGCGACACTCAGCCTTACAAGTTCCATGAACCATTTCCTAAAAATTCTAGTTTTTCTCTAGTTTTCTTTTTATATTTGTGTCATTTCGGTTATGTACTAAGACTAAGTTGTGATGTAAGAACTTCAAATCCTGAATTGTTAATTAATGGATGTTAGTAATTTTAGTGACAATATTAATTTTAAAATTTTAAATCTTATTATAATGTTCTTAAATTTGGGGCGTCACAAAAACCATTGTCATACATAAGTGTATGCTTTTACACACAAACTTGCAAATACCTATAGGTTGCGCAAAAACCCCAAGGTTTTAGAGAAAAGACTTTTTCAAACGTATGCACTATATGATATAATTGACTTGAACAACAAAAAAAGTCTTAAGCCTACACCATATTTGTTTCACCCATCTCCCATATACCTTTTTCTTTTGTCTACCTTGGTGGGAGGAGATCCTGGAAGAGCATAAGTGGTTGAGATTAAGAACCCATTTTCAACATCAAACCTAATTTTTTTGCTTTCTTTTTCACTCTATATTCCTAAAGCATGTGTAGAGAGAGGAAGGGGTAGTTATTGTGGAGGGGACAATACTATGTGGTTGTGGTTCAATTTGGGAAGAGACTACCAAAAGAAATTTCAGGAGAGAGAGTGATTCAAGTTTAAATCAACCAAGGTGTTAGATTTTCACAATATTGATTAAAGCATATAATGCCAAAGACATCCTCATGACCTCACACAAAATTACAATAAGATTAGTAGTCATGATAATTTTATTTAAAACTCTCACCAAAAAACCACCAACACAACCACCCAAATAGATCCAAAATCTATCTAACATCATAGAAGCCTCAAGCATAGAAATTACTTAATAAACAAATTAATACAAGACACATATTGCTGGGTATATTATACAAATGTGAACAAAAGATCAACACACACAAAAGGGCATGGCCCACAAACGTTCATATCACCTCACAAGCTCATCCTTTCAAGTGAATGAGATGTTTTGAAGTGATGAGAAGATAACAAACCGTGCAAATTATTTTGCCAAAGCCTAGGGGTGTGGACATGCAATCACATGGCCTAGTCCATCACCTTTATTCTCAAACAGTCTAGCTTTCACTGTCAACCATCACTGTTATTACACATAAATACTATAATAAAAAAAAGTCATTAAGCACAAATAATTATCTAGTGTTTCGAAAATATTACGTAGTCATGACCATTAATAATTATATGGACACATGATCGCACTAAAATTTTCGACTCATTTGATAATTTTTCTTAACGACGGATGCTCCTGAGCCGTGGGGGTTGACCATCTTCGTTAGGGAGCTTCACAACGGTGTAGACAGTTGCTCCTGCTATAGCCCCGAGTGTGGGTGCGATCAAGTATATCCATATCGATTTGTAGTTTCCTGCCGCGACAGCCGGTCCCAAAGTCCTCACTGGATTCATAGAACCACCACTAGACGGCCTGCAAACAGCCTTGCAACAATTTAGTTGTGTTTTGAATAATTTTTCGATTTCAGAAGTTATTCAGTGCCCGATCGCAGATTATGGTCAGGCGGTGCAGTAATATAATTATAATTGGCAAGTATTGTGAAACCTACCATTTTATATTGATGATTTAGGAATAACGTGGCAGGTGTCCAACTACACAATTTTTTGTTTGTGTTAGGCAGTTGATCAGGTTTCATTTTTTTTTTTTTATTCATTGATATATAACTCAATATTTTTTTATCCAATTATATATAACTATTTGTGTGTGGATGTTTTCTTCCTTGGATTTGTTTGATTTGTTTTGGAGTCAATCGAGTATCTTCGTTCCTTGAATTTGTTTGGGATGTTTAAAGTATGAGATTGGTATTATTGATAACATATTTTTTATGATTTTTTTTTTTTTTTAAAATTTTTTTACATAGAAAATCTTTTCTTATTTTTGATTGTAAACTTGAATCTCATTTGCTTCACCCTTCATAAGGTAATTTTGAGGATAAACTAAAATGTTTTCTAAAACTAGGGTTGTAAACGACTGAACTGAGTTGAATAGAATAATAGGTTATTCAAGTTTGATTTTGAAACTTATTTGAATAGAATAATAGGTTATTCAAGTTTGATTTTGAAACTTATTTACGTAATGAACTATTTTGATTTGAACAAGTTTTTAATGAACTAAACAAAAATCGAGTTCATGCCATTCGTTAAAGTTTTCCGTTTTTTCCTATCCATGTTTTGAGAAAGAAAAAACAGCTATCAAAAAATGAAACCATTCCTTTATAAAGGCGTGTTTAAAACATCAACAAAGAAATGAAACCAATCCTTTGTCAAGGGCCTATTTATACATCATTTATTTCATCAAATGTTTCTTATTAAAAAAAATCAAATGGCTGCTTTTTATCTATATTATTATTAAAAGTGAATACCTAAATTGATTTAGTAAAATTTTTTTCTTCTCATGTTACGTGGCAACTTTATATATATTAAAGTAGAAATATTGTTATACGCAGCGTAAGCAGTGTTTGAACTTAAGACCTTAGATTTTATTAAGAATATACTTATTACTTAAACAACATATATATAATAATATTAAATTCTTTATAATTTATTTTTATTATTTGAATTACACCCAGATCATGTGTCCTCAGCTAGTATGAAATAAAAACAAGGGACCATTATTGAAAGCATGCTTTGACACATCAGTACATGTCTTTTTGGGGCTAAATAATTGTCTAGAATATTAATTTCCTATTATTTTTATTTATTTTTTATCGCTCAGGTGAATTTACATAACAAACATATAATTTATTGTAACTAAAATAATAATAATAAAATCTGTAAAAGATTGTGGAAATCGTTTAATTTTATATAAATAAATTTGAAAAGAGTACTTATTTATTTATTTCAATATAAGGCCTAATAAGTCAAAAATAGAATCATATTTTGTATCTTTTTAATATTTATTTTCTTGAGGGGCCGTAGGTGTAGGGGGGTTGTGACAAAAGTAATGGTAAATTATTAGAACTTAGAAGGGTAGCAGGTAGAGAAATTGACAACTTGAAACATCACGTACACTGTCCACCGACCATAATATATATGGCTTGGAATTAGACTACAATAATAATAGAGATCACTAATTTTAGAGTTTTAAAAAGATTACTAATGACATGATACTCAATAAAAAAAAAAAAATACAACACTAAGACTAAAATATCAAATCATTCATGATGGAACCCACTGCCACATCATTAATAATAGCACTAATTAGTGCTCTCACTCATTTTCGATTAGACTATCTTTAGGTTCAACTGAGACAAGTTGGGCCCTCGTATCAATCTCTTTTTATTTATTTATTATTTTAAAAAAAAATTCAAAATATTTATTTAGTGAGTTATTTCTAAAACTGTTTTCAAAGTTTTCTAAGGGTTGTTTTGAGAAGATGGTAAAAAGTGACTTTTTAGTTTTTAATCAAGCTTTTGGTTTTTTTAGATAAATGATTTGGGAAGTTGGTAAAAAGTGACTTTTGACTTTTTTGATTAATGTTTGTTTATGATGTCAAATCATAATAAAATGACCAAACTATCCCCATTTATTTAAAATATTTACAACTTCACCTATGGAACACATTTTGACCCATGAGGGGTACAATTGTAATTTCACTGTTGGCTAAAAATCAACATCCCAAATGAAAAAAAAGACAAAAAAGCGAACTTTTGGCTTTTGTTACTAACCAAAAAAAGTGACTACAAACCATGTTGCCAAAATATGCCTAAATACAATCCTACTTTTAAAATTTGCAAAATTTCTCGTAAATAACTAAAAAAATGTTTTCAATACTTTTATCATTTTGATTTTCAAAAGCTTGAATAGCAAAAAATATATTAAACAGACTCTTGGACTATATTTAAATTATGAATTTAGGTAATAATTTAATATATATATATATATATTTATTTATTTATTTCATCAACATTTCATTTTCATTTTATAAATTTCTAAAATTTTTATTCAAATTTATGATCTAAACATTATATTGGGAGTGTTTGTTTCAGCTTTTCAGAGCCAACTTATGACTTTTAGCTTTGAAAAAGTTATTTTGGACTATTTGGTTAAACTTATTTCAAACAACTTCTGATTCTAACAGCTTATTTTAACTCAAAAAAGCTGATTCTGAGAAGCTGCTCACCCCTTACTTTTGATTATCAGCTTCTGCTGTGGACATGTTAATTTATGGTTATACTCTTAAATTTTTTTATTTTTTATTTTTTTAAGCATAGAAAAAGATTCAAATGGACTATAGATTATTATTATTATTTTTTATGAGAAATGTAGATAAACAAAAAATAAAAATTAATTGAAAAAACTATTTCACAGCTTATTTAACAAACACTACTCAGCAACTTAAATATATAATCCAACAGCTACACCAAACAGATTAACAACTTCTGATTAAAGTTATAATCTATAATCTGTTAAGTTATAATCTATAAGCTGTTTTAACAGCTACACCAAACAGGGCCATTATAGATTGTTTGTGTCACCATATTATAAGCTCATAAACCATAAGCATAATCTAAAATAAAAACACCCCTCACCTATCTTCATGATAATTAATTTTTTTACCCAAAAACTACAGTACCAAATTCAGAAGAAGAAAAAAAAAACTATAAATAGTCATTTACATGGTAGCAAACAAGCAAATAGCAACTTAGAATCTATATATGAAATTACCATAAATCGTTGGGGCAAATGACACTTTTCTCTCTTCATATTTGACCATTTTTCTACTTTTGGCTCTTAAAATTTATTTTTTTAACTTTAACTATTCATATTTAATTTTTTTTTTCAGTTTACTTCTAAAGTTAATTTATGTTTAAAAATTAATCAGAAAATATCACGATAACTATCACATAATACAAAAAATATATTATTATAATAGGATTTGAGTTTGTGTCAGAAATGTGAGTTACATATAATAAAATATTTTTATATTATGTAACTACTAATATGTCATTTTCTGTGTAATTTTTAACAGAGGTTAGTTTTAGCAATAAATTGAAAAAAAATTAAAATATGAAAGTTCAATGTGAAAAAATATAAATTTTAAAAGTTAAAGTTAAAAAGTCATCAAAATGTAATTTATCCTTAAAATTACAGTATGCATAAGAAAGAGAGGAAAAATGACGAGAAAAGAAAGAAGCAAGCAAAGACACAGCTAGAGAACAAAGAAAAGTGGGATTTCAGATAGGAAGGAAAACTAACCCGGCTACAAGAATGTTAAGCATCACTGTGGCTCCAACTGCTATTCCCGCCAATTCTCCAACCTGTCACAATAACACACTTATATGTATTTTATAAACTCAAATTTCCATTTTCAATGGCTAAATTAACTATAAAAAGCATTAGCCTAAAATGCCACATAATCCCCTAGTATCTTTAAATTCTCGTTCATTTTATTTGTCGCAAGTAATTTTCTTACCTTATATCTTGAGATTTATACAATATTGTGATTAAAAGTGTATTAGAATTGGAAATAAAAAGAATTGAAGACAAAGTACTCTTGACCATTTAAAATAGTCCATAAAAAGTGAGATTGTCTATTTATTTTATACAAAAAAAAAATGTTTTAACTTTTAAAATGTCAAAAATATTTTTTAAAATAAAATCATACTATATATCTATACCTCATCACTAATCGCACCACATCTAACACCCCTATGAATAATTAAAAATAATAATCAGAGTGTTTGGTTTGAGTTTTTTGAATTAAGTTTTTTCAAAATTTAGTTTTTTGGTTTTTGTAGTTTTTTGTTTTTAGTGAATATTTTTAAAATTTTAAACATTTTTTTTAACCTTTTTAGATGCACCTTACTTAGATATATCTAAAAAGTAAAAAAATTGTGAAAAAATATTTTAAAATTTTAATAAATATATAAAAATATAAAAAAAAATGTACTGAATTCTCTTTTTTTTTTTTGTACTTTTAGTATTTAGTGAATTTTTAAAAGGTTTTTTTCACAATTTTTTTACTTTTTGGTCATGTTTGATTCACAAGACTAATAGTGAAGTATTAATAATCTTATTAAATTAGTGTGATATTCATTATCCAATTGGATTAATATCCATTGGATTAATAATCCCACACCCACCCCATTACTAATAATCCTACAAATTTGTTGAATTAATTATCCATTGAATTAATAATTCTAAACCAAAATGTTAAAACAAATATAGGATAATTGACCTCACAGATTAATAATCTCAATCCCATCCACCCAATCAAACATGCCATTTAGGTATATTTATGTTAGGTATGTCTAAAAAGTAAAAAAAAAAATTACTTAAAATATTAAAAAAATTCAATAAAAACAAAAAAATAAGAAAAAAAGAATGTAGAATTTTCTGAAAAGTATTTTTGAAAAAAACACAACCAAACAAGCTGAATAATTTTACATTATTAAAACAAAGGAAGCAAAATCGTAAGTAGAGTAAGAGAGAATAGTAGAAATACCGCTCGAGTATCAGTGGCGACAGCGGTAACAACAAAGAGGAGATTGAAGGTAATGAGGAATTCGAGGGCGAAAGCTTGGCCAATGTCAGTGGTAGCGGAAGGAACAGTGACTCCTCCAGACATAAATGGGTGGAAACAACCTTTGAGAGCGAAGCAAGCACAGATTGAACCGGAGACTTGGGCGATGATATAGCCAGGGACTTGGATCCAGGGGAAGTGACGGAGAACAGCGAAGGCAATGGTGAGGGAGGGATTGAGATGTGCTCCGGAGATGTGACCAGTAGACAGAATCACTATCATCACTGCCAAACCAGCGCATGCTGCGTTCCCAATCAGTGACTCTACTCCGTTGTATTTCTGGTTCACGATTGGTCCTCCTGTTGCCGCGAATATCAGTATGAATGTCCCCACGAACTCTGCTCCCAGCTACCCAATCCATTCCAATCCAACAAAATTAATCACACAAATATAAAGACTAAAAGACTAAATCACACTGCTGAAACCACTTTCAACCCATGAATGATTATATACATGTCATATGTCACCTCAATGATTCTCAAAATAACTACTACTAATTTGTTATATATATATGACTAACTAATAGAATCAGATTCTCTCCCCCTCACATCTATGACAAGTTATTGGTGCATTTTGGGGACCTTCACGTGGTGCCCAACAAGATTGTAAAGAGTGGAAGAGGTGATACTCATGAATTTATGTCGAGTGATTAAAGTATATGATGAGACATGATCAATTGTGATTAGTGATTGAGAAATCTATATTTTAAGTAAATTTTAAGAGATTTATTTATAATTTACTCTTAAAATTTAATAATTTGGGACACTCATCAATTTTTTACATAGATAAAATTAACAAAAAAAAAATTAAATGAAATAATCTAATTGAAACTAAATTTAAAGTATAGAGATCTAATTATTCAAATTAAAATTATAAGAACTAAAATAAATTTGAATCAAACTGTAGAATAAAATGTAAAAAATACTATTGACCAAAAAAAATATTCCTAAAATTATAGCCATCGACTACTGAAAAATTAATAAAAAAAAATTAAACTTTTGCCGCGAGCTGAAGAGCCGTCGCTACAACTTCAAGACTATTTTTGCAAAGACATTTTTGGTGATCCAAAGATTTTTTTTTTAAAAAAAATAAATAAAATGTAAAGTAGATATTAGGGCAAATTACAGTTAATGCTCACTGTAGAGTATATGGAGTATATGTGGTGTAGGGGTGGCCACGTTTGAGGTGAGTGACATCTCCCGCTCTTGCTCCGTTTTAAAAACCCGTCCCTACCCTTGCTCCCATTATGGATGGAATTTTTCAATCTCATTTCCACTCTGGCGGATATTTGCAGATATTCAATCACATTTTAAATAGTCAAAAAAATTAAAAACTATTAAAATTCTTAGCACGCTAAATAATTTTTTTATTTTATATATATAAACAGTGAGACTTTTAAGATTATTATTTATTTTTATTTAAACAAAATCATAGACTTTTAATATTATTTTTTTATATCTAATTATATTATATATATACATATATTATTTATTTATATATTATTAATTATATTAGGTCGGGTTTGGATCGAAAGAAACGATACCCGCCCTCGCCCCACCCCCGTTGCAGGTGATCAAAACATAATCCACTCCTGCCCCACATAAGTGTCGAGGTGGATAAAATCTGCCCCATTCAGGCGAGTATGGGCAAGCCCTGCAAATTGGATTAAAACGGCCATTCCTACTCCTGTAGTTTGGGATTTGTATTATTTTGGTCTCTAACTTTTTAATTGTCATATATTTGATCTTAATTTTGAATCTCATTTCAAATAAAGACAATTGAAGACAATGTTGCTCTATTTTAAGGGCAAAGTCGTCAATTTGATAAAATATATACTAGTTTAACAAAAACAAATGTCAAAAAATTATTTTAAAATTTTTAAAAATTATTTCTACCCATAAAAGATAAAATTATATAAAAATGATAAATCTTTTACATTTTATTTCTTTTATATTTTTTACTAAATTAATTTTTAGTGCGTGTTTGGATGATGATCATGTAATGACTAGTTATTTTTGTTGATATTTTTGAATAGTTATCATGTAATAGATAGTTGTAATTGTTGTTAACATATATTTTTTTGATGATTATTATGTAATAAATTGCTATTAGACTTTTAATGTGTGATTGGTATTTTTAATATATGAAATATTTTTTGTTTTGGATTTTTTGATTTAATAAATTAGTTTAATAATGATATCAAAATTGTCACCATATTTGACTTTTGAAAAAATAAAAAATAATTTAATGAAAATAAATATAAAAAAAATTATTTTAAAAATTTATTTCTATTCTCCCAAAAGGTAAAATTATATGGAAAAAATATGTTCTTGATTTTTTTCTCACCAATTTAAATTTTAATTTCTTGGAAAAAATTTATGAAAATAGATTATGAAATCAAATTAAATAGAACTTTCTAACCAAGAAAGTTGTAATATTATTTATTAAAAAAATTATTATATTTTAAATAACATACAAGTTAACTGATACACAATAAATTATATGATGACTGTACTTTTACAATCTATCATTTGTAAAGAAAATATTTTTAATTATCTTTACATAAAATAAGATTCAAATTTTATTATCGAATGTATCTGAATTAAAAAAGTAAAGGCTGAAATGAGTTTAAACGGTATAGGAATTGTTAATGTAATTTACCGTAGCTAATAATGAAGTCAACTGAAACAAAACGTCAAACAAACAGGAGTTAAAAAAAAATGTCAATGAAACAATAAAAAATCATAATAATGTGGAGAGGGTGAGGAAAGAGAGGGAAAATACTGTGGAGGTGGAGAGAGATACCTTCCGGGTGAGCGAGACATCAGGAGCAGGGAAATCTAAGAGGCAGGTGTGAGGAGCACCCCAGGAAGGAGCTCCAACGGGCAAGCACTTGCATCCCGGCCTTAACTTCCGATCACTATACGATAGCGAGTCCACTCGGATCGACGATATCAATGGTCCACCCGGCGTCCCTGGTGTTGCCGGCGTTGACATTGCCGGCGACATTCCCACCTCTGGATCAGCCATTCTTCTCTCTCTCTCTCTCTCCTCTCTTTTTCTTTCCTTTTTTGGGTTTTTCTCAAGTATATATATATATATATATATTTTTTTTTGGGTTTTTTTGGGTGAAAATCCTAAAGAGAAAATATAATAAATTTTTTTTTACATAATTTGGCGGTTTTTTATAAAGCCTTTGCTACAGGAGCGTCGGGAGGTTGGCCAGATTAATTAATATGGCCAAATTACCACCAATAATATGTAAAAAATAAAATTGAAAAACTAATTTTTTTTTTTTTGGAGGGGTTTTTCTGAGTTTTGAAAACAAAGAAATGGGCCAAAGTTACATGCTGCTCAGGTTTTTTTAAGAGTAGGATTAAGGAATAGGTAAAACGAAAATAGCCAGCTTAGACACTTAAAATAACAGAAATATAGTTGTGGCTCTTTTCATAAAATTCAATAAATATTTTTTTTTTTGGTGGTTTTTGGGGGGGTTTTTTAAACAGGGGACAGGGAAAATTACATGCTGGTACTGATTTTATAAAGGTGTAGTTAAGGAAGAGAGATGATGGAGGGATCCAGTTTCCTGCAAAAGAAAATGAAAAGGAAAATATAGGATTGGAACAAAAGGGTATGGAAGAGGGAGAGAGAAAGGAAGGAAAGATGAGAAAAATACCTGATAACTTGAGAGGAGGAGGTGGGTTTAATTTAGTTTGATGATCAATGCAATAGCCTAAAGCATATGTATGAGTTGATCACATACTATATATATACATATATTATTAAAGGAATGGAAGACTGTTAATAACAGAAGAGAGAGAGAGAGTCAATGACCAACTCTCCTCATCATCAACATCGTCTTCACAGCTAATCAAAACTACTTTTTATCATTATATTTCATGCATTGCTAAAGTAACGGCAATTTCTAATGGCGTTATCACAGTTATCGCATCACTGCAGATGCTTAAGATTTCTACCCAAAATTCAGAATTATGAAATTGTGGTGGTGGTGGTCTCTTATTATCTTTACACTATTATAATTAACATTATTATTATTATTATTATTATTATTGTACGAGTACGAAATAATTCTTCTCGTATGATCCTATTGATTAAGTTTGTGCTCCTCCAAACGTCGTCGCTTTACTCCCTGAAAACAAAAACGTGAGCTAGCCGGCGGGTGTGTGCCGGAAACCCCTCCGATGCCTAAATCAGCAAAATAGACAAGTAGACAAAAAGCTCTGTATATCAAAGTTGTGTGTTACCTCTCCATAGGTGATGTTTGTGAGCTTTTATAGGTTCCGTGTGGCACAATCCAAGTAGGACTCTTACTCCTCCATGTAGAGTCCTCCTAGGATTCATACTCTTAAAGGATAATGTTTATCCTTCAACACCCCCTCGCTGCTTAAACCAAGTGAGATGGTTATACCATGGCCGGACTACCATACAATCGAAATAACATTGCCATGCTAGACTGACTGGAGCAACCGATCTAACTGTTAGTTCGGCTATTCCTTACTTTTCCCATACCTCGGCTTCACATACCAAGACCGAGCTACCCATAGAAGAGCCTACGCCGAACTAACCCAAAACCAAGTCCTGAAGAGGGCTCAGTATACTTCCTCACTTCCACCTCGGCTTTAAATGCCATGACCGAACTAACCAATTTGGCCGTGGCTGCCGAGATAACAACAAGGCCTTCTTGGGCTGAGCTAATGAAAAAAGTCATTTTACTCCGCCTTTCTTACTACGGCCCAAAGCGGCCCATTACCCAATCTCGGCCCAATTTATTCATACAAATTACCCTCTCAATTGCCCCTTAATTCCATCTGCGCAGCATGATGGAATTACCTTGTCTTCCAGCCGAGCTAAAAAATTTTAATCTTACTACCGAGCTAAGCCTTTAAGCTTTTCCAGCCGAGCTAAAACTCTTTTAGCCTTTCCAGCCAAGCTTAGGCTCACACCGGTCCATACCTGTCTGGTTCAAACGTCTCTTCAATCACAGCAACTGAATCGCTTATTATCCCAAGGACACGTGGCATACTCTCATTGGCTGAAGGTAGCTGTCACGCCGTCATCATACCTCGTGTGTTTTTTTTGAACAATTCCCGTCTTTTCGTCCTTTCAACTATACAAAACAAACTCTTGCTATTTTGAATCACTACTCATCTCCTTCTCTCTCTCTTCTAACCTCCACTGTCCTTCAACCTTGCAACTGTGAAGCTCGTGTTTTTGCTGTCATTGCTCCCATCTTCAGTGCTTCTGCTCCTTCATCTGGTAAGTCACTCAAATCCATCTTTCTTGCTTTTGTTGTTTTCGTATTTGTTCAATCCACTGTATCTTGTTGTGTGTGTTTTTGCAAAACACACTCTTGCTTTCTACTTGATTCGTATGTTTCTGGAAAAACTTAGCAATAGAACACTCGAATACATGTAATACCCTGTAGAACACTGGTTTTCGATCCAAAATCATAATGCAACCGGACTAGGATACTGTTTATGCTATGTGTAAGTCTAGCCAGACCATTCAACCGAACCAACACTTGTACCAGTAGTTTTAACAAGTCAACAAACCATCTTTTGATTTATCTTAGCCGAGATAACAAACCGAACTAAGTCTGCACTTAGTGTGTTTGAAGGCCTTAATTCCGACCGATCTATCTTGGGGCTAAACCAGCACTTTTAGTTCAGACCGAACTAAGAAAGCTACCCCTAGAATTTCAACCGGTCTAACAAATCACTTGCCCCAACCGAGCTACCAAGCACCTTGCTGAAACCGAGATAGGACCTGCAACATTTCACAAAGCCGAAGTAGGACTTAACTTGTTTTTTCTTTGTAGCACGGTCTAAAGATTTGTGCTTAACACTTCTGTTTTTTCACTTTGCAGACTTAGGTTGCCCAGGCACTCCTTTTGATTGCTCGATCGAGCTACACAGCAACATTTTCCGACCGAGCTAGCACCAAGCATAATTTATACATAACTTAGGAGTAAATGGGTAAATATAGGTTTTTAGTAGAAACACCAGGTGACATGGCCGAATTCCGAAGGGATTATAACATCCCTGACGATGTCCACCTAACTTTAGCCAAAAAAGATGTTATACCTTGGGAAAACCAGGGCTTTGTACCCTTTACCCTTTTATCAATAATAGAAACTGGACTAAGATTTCCAGTCCAACCCTTAATTTGTGAATTCCTTAGGCAAACGAGAATATGCTCAACCCAGCTTTCCACCAACTCATACCGCATAGCCGAGCTAAACCGCCGAGCTGGCATTAACCTTGGTTTAGCCGAAATCTTCCACCAGTACTCCATAGGGTCGAAAGAAGACGGCTGGGTTTACTATCTTAGAATACGTTGCCGCCGAGAAAAAATAATAAAAGACACACCGGACAAAGACTTGAATGATGATGACTTTTTCTGGGTGTCTGGCAATTTTGAAGACCAGCAAGCCTAGATCCCTAGCCGAAGTATAAACTGGAATAAAGGAGAACCTGGTATAATTACTTCGGTTTGTTGGCATGCTTTGTTTTATTTCGGTTACCTGCTCCTGAACCGAACTAACAGTTTGTCTTCTTTATGCAGATTCAGCCCATCTTCAATCCTTGTACAGTTACCCCAACCTGAACACTATCCGCGCCGCACTTCGTTTTCCAGAAAGAAGTTGGGCCAAACTTCTAAATTTCGAACCGACATACAGATACAGTGGCCGTCGAAAAGCCAGAGTAACTGACTTTTCGTTGGAGGACGCCCCAGAACCGAACCCAACCTTGCCACAAATTATACTAATCCCACTGACTGCTGAAAAAGAGATGGCCAAAAGGAACAGAGTCAAGGCTCTCTTGACCGAGACAAATAGGGCCGAGGTACCACCTCCAAACCAAACACAAGAAACAGTGATGGCCCTTCCATCTCAACAACCTTCTTCATCACGCCAAACTAAGCGCGCCCGTACTACCCAGACCAAACAACGCTTAATTGATGAAGATAAAACCACTCTGCCACCAAGCCCACCATCAAGCTCGCAACCGGAACATGTTAACCGAGCCAGCTCTTCCAAGTGGGCACCCAGACTGACTTTCCAGAACCGTGATATTCAGGACACTGATTCAGTTGTCGCTGAAAAAGACCATTTGATGGCTTTCAACCTTGCCAAGAGTGTGTGCCTCCCAGCTGACATGGAGCACCACAAGAACTTGACCGAGCTAAAGGCGATCCGCTCGGCCACGAAATCCATGATCCTGGTAAGTTGTTCTTCTTGTCTCTCTAAATATCGCCAACTTTCTGTTCGATTTTGTCATTAGTTTTTTTTTGTCAGGCCGTGCAAAAGGGCCAAATTGCGTATAAAAAGGTGTTAGAGCTCAGGAGCACAGCGAGGCAAGCCACGGCAGAGGTTGAAGCAAAAACAACCGAACTGAAGGAGTCCTACCAGAAAACGGCCAAACTAGAGGCTGAGGTAGCTCGTCTGACCGGACCAGTTACCTCGGCCGATGCAGACAAACAGAAGGCCCTTGCTGTGATGAAGGATAAGTACCTTCGCGAGCTAGTCAAGCTCAAAGGTAAGAAGGACGCCGAGATAACGGAGCTGAAGAAAAAGGCAGAAGACGCCGAGCTCCGGGGTTTTAAGGAGGGCGAAGCCTTTTATATCAAACAATGTGAAGCAGCAAAGGATTTATTCTTCAAGTGCGACTGGAGAGGTGTTGTGGAGCAGCTTGGTTGTGGGCCCGACACCGAGGTCTATAATGCTCCTCAGTACTTCATTCCGGCCTCACTGGCGGAGTATGCTGCCGACCTTTAGAAGCAATCTCTTGAAGAATGTGGAGATGAAGGCTCTTCTTCTGAAGACGACTCCCAGCCCGGTCGCCAGCCTACTCCTCAAATTCCAGCGATCTCCAATCCCCCAGCACCTGATGCTATAGTTGTGTCTCCAGCTGAGCCGAATGCAGAGGAGCTTGTTTCAACCGAGCTCAAGCGAGTTCTGGCGACGACCGAACTTCCTTCTGAGACCGGACTTAGAGTTGAGCTGGATGCTGATCTGGACGATCTCTTTAACTGATTTTGTATCTTCTTTTTTTTCTTTTTTCTTTTTGTAACTGGGCTGTGGCCCCTCCTTTGTACTTGTTTTGAATTTGATCAATGAAAATCGTCTTTTCTGCTCAACACTTATTCCGGTTTGATCTGTATGCTTGTAACTGTAATGACTTTTCAATGACTTCTTTTGTTCCAACTGTTATCTCGGTTTGCTTTACTGTTTGTGTTTGCTTTCTAACTGCAACTTGAACGAAACACAATATTTTTTGACTGAGATACTTTATTCCGGTCTTAGCTGAGCAGTCTGACTGAGCTTACTAGTCAACCACTCTTTAGCCGATATACGTATTTCGGCTGAAGAGTACCAAGAGTGGTTTAATCCAGTCAACCATTCTTCAACCTATACCCTTGCTTCGGCTGAAGAGTAATGAGGGTTTAATCTAGCTAACCACTCTTTAGCCAATGTCCTTACTTTGGCTAAAGAGTACTAAGAGTTGGTTTAATCCAGCCAACCACTCTTTAGCCGATGTCCTTACTTTGGCTAAAGGGTACTAAGAGTTGGTTTAATTCAGCCAACCACTCTTTAGCCGATGTCCTTACTTCAGCTAAAGGGTACTAAGAGTTGGTTTAATCCAGCCAACCACTCTTTAGCCGATGTCCTTACTTCGGCTAAAGAGTACTAAGAGTTGGTTTAATCCAGCCAACCACTCTTTAACCAATGCCCTTACTTCGGCTAAAGAGTACGAAGAGTTGGTTTAATCCAGCAAACCACTCTTTAGCCGATGTCCTTACTTCGGCTAAAGG